AAATTTTTTTTTTTTTTTTTTTTTTTTTTTTTTTTTTTTTTATAACATGTAATATTCTTAATAATATCTTCATTCGTTAATCTTTATATGATTTAACAGGTTGCCTCTGATGAAGGTACGTCTGAAGAAAGCGAAGAAAACTCAGCTACAGAAATATCTACAGATTCTGAATTCGAGCACGATGGTGCAACTCCTACGCAGCACGAGATTCCAGAAATCACGATCAACGATACATATGTCCGGAAAACAAGAGGAAATTACGTTGAACCTAAGAAAGTTCAAGTAAAAAGTAAAGTCATTTCATCGATTAATGGTAATCTGAAGCAAGATAAAGATGCGAAATCGCAATTGATGAAAATGGATCACGATATAAATCCTTCTCATCTTGAAAAAGAGAGCAAGCTGAATTTATTAGGATTCAATAATACTAATGCAGTTCCATTAATAAATCCACGTAAAGGAGATTATTTATTAAACCGTACCCATTCCACCGAAGGTATAGCATCTAAGCTATCTTTGGAATTGAAAAAGAAGTATTTACTCGGTGGTACAGCTTTTGGAGGTTCCGTTATGAAATCGGGATCAGCCTCGAATGTCGACACTCAATTGAGAAATTTTACAGATGCTATTTCTCAACACCAAAAACTTTTAAATCCCGCTCCAGAACCGAGTCCTACGATGCAAGCATTCTTGCAAGGAACGAGCAAATTGCGATCGAATAACACCCAACTTTCTCCTATATCGCCCACAGCTATATTTTCTTCCGTGAAACCGTACATCGCGAATCGATCCACCCAGAATTTATTAAACAATGATAATCCTATTTATAAATCGACAATTTTGCCTGAAATATCAAAGACCCAGTTACCGGATCTGGTTAAGGAATCCAGTATATTAAAATCGAAAACTACACCTAATATTGTCTGCGGTGAATCCAAGAGCATAGAAACTAAAGAAATTGTAAAAGAACAGGTGGTTCCTAGTCATCAATTGCATACAGAGAAAAACTCCAAAATATTGGAAAATGCGAAAAACTCTGAAAATACGGAAAATAATTTTACCGCAAATACAGATGAGAATAATGGTTTCCGACCACGAAGCCCTTTACATGAAACCTCCATCATCGTACCTCAAGTCGATTGGAGTAAAAACACATTGGAGCAAGGAAAAGAGGCGGCTAGCACCGGAGATTCAGAGATAGATAGCGATTCTTTGTCATCCGGGGATGGCGAAGCGGAGGAAGAAGCACAGGATCAACCACCAGCTGTTATGAATTTGTCTCCACCCCGTTTACAAATTCACAGTACAGATGGAGATCTTTTGTTGGACGAAGAGGCTGAAAAATGTAAAGATTTCGATGATGGCCAATCGTTTGAGCCTGATTCCATAGAGTGCTCGTTTCTACAGGATAAAATGTTAAATAATAAGATCAATCCTTCGATCCCTTGCGTAAATAAAACCTCGATGGAACTGGAGCTGGTGAAGAACGAAATCGAGCAATTAGAATTGCAGGATGATGGTAAAAAAAGTATGAGCAATTGCAGTACCCCTACATCGATAACTTCTGCTATTTCGAATAAACATGATGATTCTGAAGAAAACGACGTCACAACAGCAGCTCTTACAGAAACGGAATTCTCAGAGTGGGCTCGTGATGGAGAAGTCTTGGTTTCGGATGATCTACGGGACGTTGAATTCAATATTAATCCAGAATTCATAACTACAAGAAGAAAAGCTACGTTATCGGATGCTTCGAGGATAGGTCATACTCCAATTACGATAGCCAAAGAAGAAGATTTAACGGACATGGACTTAGATTCTTCGAAGTTGGATAAACAGTTGGATGTTCCTGTTAACAATACCTCAAAACTCTTAGCTAATGGTGAGAATATAGATTTTATGGACACGGATAACGAATCGTTATTGGACGATAGTTTGCAAGATGCTTCTAATATGGTAATGCTAAAAAATAGGGGATATGTAGAATTTGTTAATATCAAAAGCACTTCAAACCTCACAAGTTCACAAGATAAATTAATTGCTGACGCCCCTATTGCGAAATTAGAAATAGAAAATGATTCAGAAGAAGAAGCTTACTATGATAAGAACGTGATAGAAATAAATCCAATTACCATGGATGATGTTATGAATAAATTAAACGGTTCTGTAAATAAATCTGAAAATGACACCAAGTCAGAGGGAAATATGGAAATAAAATCAAATTCCATTCAACAAGATCAATCCATCGCAGAAGCTGTGAATAAAGAATTATTTCAATCGATGGAGGAAGATAGTTTGCTTATCGTTGAACCTGCCGAGGACACCACTACCAGTGAAGTAGTCACTATTCTCGCTAGTCCTGTGAATCCACAAGTTTCAATAATTGCATCTCAAACTGAAAAACAATCGGAACAAGAAGAAGAAACGAAGACGGCGACTGATTTGAACAATCCTGATTATTTGGAATACGTGAAACGTTTGCAATCTAGAATTGCTGAATTTAGCAATGTCAAAGATTCTATAGACGTCAGAAAATCAAAAAGGAAGAATTCAAAAAGTTCGCTGCAATCTCGTACAGCTGAGATGATAGCAGAAGAAATTAAGAATCAAGAAACTACAATAAATAATAATTTCAATTCGCCGGCAACTTCGAGAAAATTGGAAGAAATTACCAGAGAAAGATTCAAACAAAAAAATGTAATACAAGATTTATTAATGGATAAAGTAGAAGCTCATAAACAGAAATCTGCAGAGAAAAAGGCAAGAAGAGCTGCTAGAGCTTCGTCGTTCAATTCAACTTCTGCCTTATCACCGATAAGACCATCTATTCCTAGTAGTTCGCTAGTTAATAAATTTGTACCTACATCTATAGTAACACTTGAAAATAGTCCTTTGCACAATACTAATTCTGCTGAAAGCAAACAGCCTATGGAAATTAAGAAATCTTACGAAACCCAGCAATCGCCTTGGAAATCAGAGACTGAGAAAGCCATAAATGAAGAAAGTAATAAAAATGATATTCAATCTTCTGAAAATATCACATTAATTAAAATAGCCGGTGAAACAGAAAACAACTTTAGAACGCCAGTTGCACCTCCAAGATTGAAACACGAAGAGGCAAAGAGAACAGCAGAAAAGGCAAGACAAGATGCGAGAGAAAGGGCTAGATTAAAGAGTGATGAAGATCTGGGTCTCAGTCCAGAAGATAAAATCAAAGAGTTGAGAATGAAAGTGGCACGAAGGCAACTTTCAATGGAAGAGAGAAAAACTAAAGAAGAGACACAGCCTGAAGATCCTCGCATAAGACTTTATACTTATGGAGCAAACAAGACTGAATTAAAATTGCAAACGAGCAAAAGTACGGACAATATGAAAGCTGTAGCTGAGGCAATCAATTTCAGTGGTTTATCTGCTGCCAATGCAAAATCAATGGATGAATTATTACATGCTGATTCTCCCAAATCAAATAGCTCAATAATAAAAAGAGATAAGAAACAAAAAACGAAAGATCCAGAAAGAAGAAAAAGTATCATTCAAGCAGTCTCAGATTTCTTCTTTAAAAAGGAATCTTCTCCTTCGCCGTCCAATCAAAAAGACAAATTATCTATGTTCCGTCTGACGTCAAAGACGAAAGGCAAAGTACGTATATTGTATTTCTTCTTTTCTCGCTAATTTTTACATTTTTTTTTTTTTTTCTGTTGTACAGCGTGATATATATTGTTGAGTATCTTTTGACTAATTGGATTCTGAAATGTTTCAGTTATGTAAATCGTATTCGGAAGGGTCAGATGTAAGCAACTCATAAGTCATTGATACTAATTTTTCCAGTATTAGCTTTCTTATGCCACTATTTGTATTCGCTATTGTATATCGTGCAGGTACTATGATTTTATTTTCGTTTGCCGCATTTTCTCGTCTGCTTTGAAGAGGTAACATATTGACTGGCATAAGTTATATTAAATTTTTTTTTTTACACTTTACTGTTAAATCCTTATTATTGTAGTAACAATTTGTCTTATAAATAAGCATGTTAAATTCTATCACACATAAATTGCCACTTCAGTATGTTCGTTTTTTTTTATTTTTTTTTTTTTTTTTTTTTTTT